GGAGCCCGATGCGGGACTCGATCCCGGGACTCCAGGATCATGACCTGAGCCGAAGGCAGTCGCTTAACCAACTGAGCCACCCAGGCGCCCTCTTAGAGTGTTTTTTAATGTCTTGTCATTCTGCCTCCAGTGCCTAGCATATTGTAAGTACTCAACATATATTTGTTGAATTATTAAATGCGTAATAGTTGGTCTCCCTTTTAAATAAATGTTATTAAAAGTAGTTAACTTTGGGGCACCTGGGTGGCTCAGTTGGTTGAGCATCCGTCTCTTGGTTTCCGCTCAGGTCATGATCTTGCTGGTGGTGAGATTGAGCCCCATGTGGGGCTCTGCACTCAGCGGGGAGTCTGCTTGAGATTCTCTCCCTCTCCCCTTCCCACATGCTCGTTCTCTTTCTCTCTCTCAACTAAATAAATTCTCTCTCTCAACTAAAATAGGGGACTGTCCCAGTTAACTTTTTCTTTTTTAAAAGATTTTATTTATTTATTTGAGAGAGAGGAGGAGAGTGAGCACGAGAGAGAGAGAGAGCGAGCATGAGCGAACACCAGCGGGAGGAGAGGCAGAGGGAGAGAGAAGCAGACTCCCTGTTAAGTAGAGAGCTGGATGTGGGGCTCGATCTCAGGACCCCAAGATCATGACCTGAGCCGAAGGCAGACACTTAACCGACTGAGCCACTCAGGCACCCCTGTAGTTAACTTTTTCATGGTGAATTTTGAAAATGGTTTGCCTCCTTTAATACTTTTATTTTCCAATTTTATTTCAGAAAAGATCTAGGTCATGCTCAAATGATGGTTGATGAGCTCTTTTCACCCCACTCTGATTTGGATTCCGACTGTGAACTAGACAGAGCTGTTACCCAAATCAGTGTAGATCTGGTGGATGACTACCCAGCCTCCGACCCACGATGGGCTGAGTCTGTCCCTGAGGGTAAGAACTTTTACTTTTCATATTATGGAGTGATCTATTTTGAGAATATTCTAGTTCTTTTATTAAAGCATCTCTCGAAGCATGTTTTTTTAGTTTATGATTTTACTATTTTTTAAAAGGTTATAACTTATAGTAGATTTTGAAAAGGGCTCAGAACAGATCTGCAGGATAAAAACTGAAGGAGTATTGGAGCAAATCCTGCTTGTTCTATGTGAAGCAGATTAATTAGCCCTACTTAGCTTTCTCACCATTTTATTTCTAAAACGAAATTGGTGGCATATGTAAGCATTTGGCACCTATTCGCTCCCAAATTAAATGACAATTTTGGTATAATCACTGTATTTGCCTAATAGAAATTATACATTTCCCTGAGAGCGGCAATGAGCAAATCTCAATGTATAGAAGTGGGCATACCATGTTTCTGCCCTGTGCTTTCCTTTCTGCCCTGGGTGACTGTCCTTCTCACACTTCCACTGCAGCATCATGGGCACTCGGTATTCCCAGGTACCAGCAAACAGTCTCAAATGTCCATTTCTCTCTCTAAATTCCTACTTAGCAAGTTTGCTAAACCTCATTAGAGGGTTAGGAAGGAAACATCAGTGCTTACCTTTTTTCTTTGACTTCATTTTGAGCTGGCAAGCTTAGAATGATATAAATGATTAAACTAACAATAACAGGGTTTGTGTTTTGAATAAATATGGTATGACTCCCAAAATTTTCCTCTAAATTTTTTAAACTCTTGGGTAATGTTACAAATAGTTGCATTAAAAGATTGGGAGTTTCCTTTGGTATATTTTTTAACTTTTTATTTTAATAGCAGTAATTATTGTAAAGCCAGTATGTTATGTGTTTAAATTTTGTTACTGTGTTTCAACAGAAGCACCTGGGTTTAGCAATACATCACTGATTATTCTTCACCAGCTAGAAGACAAGATGAAAGCCCATTCTTTCCTTATGGACTTTATTCACCAAGTAAGCATCCCAGTTGCTATGAACAGGGATGGCCAGGACACCTGGCTTTACTGTGTCTTTTGTCAGCTCTCTCCAGGATAATGGGAGATCCTTTCTTATTCTGAGGTGTTTTGTGGGGTTGGACCTGACTAGTGTTTTCCATTTTCTTTGCTGACTTCAAAGTAAATAAGTCCAGGGCTGGTGGGGGAGAGGGAGCTATTCAAGTATAAAAGCTGCACAGAAAACAGGCTAAAAAGAAGAAAAACAGTGTATTTCCACAGAAATGTTTCAACTTTCTTTTAACATTCTTTGATACCTGTGTGCTTTTAAGTAAACTTAGGTTTTCATGAATTGCCTTTGTATTATTGAAAAGATAGTGAAGAATATTAAGGTGATGACAGATTTTGATATATGGGTTTATAATTTTGAAGTGCCATTAGAATTGATTCCTTATTTAAATTTTGTGGTTTTTTGTTTTGTTTTGTTTTTAATGGAGTATCCTCATTTATATTGGGCCTACAATTAGAATATGTTTTTACTGCTAGACAGAATTGTTACACAGTATCACCCGTCTCTGCCTTGTTGATCAGTAGTGGCTCTCGGGCATATTATATATCCAAATGAATGCATTTAATCCCACTTTTGCTTACTTTTTCCAAAATCAGTAATGCCTTCATGTTAAAGAGATTCTGATGCTGTCTAATAGAACTTACTGTGGTGATGGGAATGTTCTATATCTGTGTTACTCAGTAGCCACTAGTCACAGGTGGCTGCTGAGCACTTAAAATGTGGTTGGTACAACTGAGGAATTATATTCTTAATTTATTTTGATTAACTTAAATTTAAATTATCACTTTGGTGGATAGTGGCTACCTTATTGGACAGTGCAATTCTAGATGATTCCAGAAACACCTTGATTGTTCTTAATTCCACATTCTGCTTCAGTTGTAATGTATGGTTTGGCTCCTGTCTACTTTTATTGTCTTGGCAAGGGCACTCCAATCATTCAAGTCTCTCTCCTTTTTTTTAAGTGGTTTAGATAGACTACAAATTAATGGGGGGAAAAACACAACATTTTCTTCTAATGTAATTGTTTATTTAGTCAAGTGTATTAGTTAACTATTAATACCTAACAAACCACCCCAAAATGTGGATTAAAACATTTCTTTCGGGTACCTGGGTGGTTTTTCTGTGGATTTCAGCTGGGACCACTCCTTGAACTGCATTTAGGATAGGCTGAGCTGGAAGGTCCCCAAGCTTCTCTTGCCTGACATTTGATGTCAGGCTGTCAGCTGGGCCACATGGTTCTTCTCCTCCACTTAGTCTCTAATCTTCCTTTAGGCTGAACTGGCTTCCTGTGGTCTCAGGGCAGCCCTCCATGGGGATGAACTTAGAAGCTGTAGTCTTCCTCAGGTCTTACGTTAGATGTCACAAAATGTTACTTCCACCAAACAAAGTGACATTGGTCAAAGCAAGTCACCAGCCCAGCCCAGATGAAAAGGATTGAGAGATGGATTCTACCTCTTGATGGGAGGAGTGCCAAAGTCATGTTGCAGGAGGATGTGCATACTGGGATGGAAGGAGTTCATGCCTTAATATGCCACACCAAGCACACACTAATTTATCAGAGGGTTGAGAGAGCCATGGAGCAGGAGCAGTTGTCGTATCTCTTGGCACAGCCTCCCCAGGCTTCAGAAACCCTGCTGGAGTCATTCAACTCTTGGAGGCAGTGTCCATTGCAAGGTAATATCTAGCTGGATCTAAAAATCCCATTCTGGCTATACATTTATGTTTGAGTTACCTTTAATATTTTAGAGCATATTATTGTTAATTATTATTAATGTAAATAATTGTATAACCAGATACTTGTATCTAAAGAAATACTTTTTTTTTTTAAGATTTTATTTATTTATTTGTCAGAGAGAGAGAGAGAGCACGAGCAGGGGGAGGGGCAGAAGGAGAGGCAGGCTCCCCGCTGAGCAGGGAGCCTGATGTGGGACTCGATCCCAGGACCCCGGGATCATGACCTGAGCCGAAGGCAGAGGCTTAACAGCTGAGCCACCCAGGCGCCCCTAAGGAAATACTTCTGAATATGAGGCTCTCCTCAAGCCAGACTCTGTGCCAACGAGGCCATATCTCGTGCTAAAGGGGATGAGAATTAATACCCAGGCCTCAGGACAGTCCCTTTGCCTCCGGTTTTCTGGCACTGAGGGAAGCATATGTCCTCACACGTAGTGCGGAGAGGCTTAGAGGCAGGGTGTTACCGTGCTTCTCTTTGTCATGGGGCCTGAGCGATGTTCATGGGTAGACATCACGGGCAGTGCTGCCGCGCTGAGGCAAGCAGAATTCCCTCATGTAAAAACTACATTTTCAATATTTGTGAGGGAACCAGGAGGAGAATTCAAATCAGAAAAGACAATGCAACTCTTATTTTAAAATAACCAGGTGAACAGGGTGAATGAATAAACTAAGACAGATTGATCCAGCAACCTATTCCATGGTCTTAAAAATAATGAGGAAAAAAAAAGTGTATCTAAATGTGTTGTGAAAAAATAAGATGCTATCAAAACAAGGTACAAAACAATATATATAGTGTGACCCCTTTGTGTTAAAAAAAAGTCTCCTAGCATTATGAATGCCACAAAAGCATATAAAGATAGCAGGGAAATTTAACTGCACCTCCAGTAGGGAATGGGCTGGGGACTTTTACCTCTCTATACTATTAAGTTTTCTAACCATGTGCAAGCCAGGCTCTCCGCTTTCGCCATGGACAGTGTGGTGGAGAGATTTCCAGAATGGTGACCTACCACAATCTTGGTCACTTCTCCCTTTATCTTGTGTTCTGTGAAGGAAAAGCAGGAGGACTCTTTCAGACTGCCCTAGCTAGGTAGCCTGCATTGTAGCTCTCAGAGTCATGAAAGGTTGTAACTAATATCCCAAAACAGGCAGCTAGCACTGGGAAAGCCCATGTGGTTTTTCCCACGATTTTCCAAGGTTCTTCGTTTCTAGGGTGTTGCTTTATTATCAAAGGAATTAAGAGAGCAGATCTTGCAGTTGAGCAGGTAAGAATCACACCTGTCTTTTCAAAGGTAGCAGGTACATTGAGCTTTAGGAGTGTCACAGAGGTCTAGAACCCTCTATTCGAGGACTGTTTAAACACTGAGCGGATGCCCCCTCTGCACCCCCATGCCAGCTTAGTCAGGGTTGGCTGGGAGCTTAGTGCCAGAGTCACTCCTGCAGGCTGCTAGGCATAGACCTTCAAATCCTGCCTTCTTGCACATCCCAGTTGAGTCTTCCCCTTCACAGAAGCCTCTTTGATACCCCTAACTCACTGATGGTTGCTGTTTTACAGAGTAGAATTCATCAGGTTTAAGTTCTCCTGCTCTAACTACAGACTAACAAATGGATCATGAGTCTACACCCTCACTGCATACAGGGCCCCTTGGGGTCTGGCTTGAGGAACGACTTTAAAGGGACCAGTGTGAGTGAAATAATGCCAGGAATCTGATAGGGTTCCAGTTCTCTTTGCAACATGGGGAATCAAAGGTGGCAAACCAAGTACAGCTGAGGGTTCTGGTGTCCACATTATACCACGCAAGCCCTGCACTGTTGATTGAGCCTCAGGGGGAGTAGCATGCCTTTGTTAAATGTTTTGTATTGTTCTCTTTCATGGGTCAGAGCTTCACACCCTCTTTCCTGGCTTTGGTATTCATTTGGGATGGTAGATGATGTTCCTGAGAGCCTTGAGGTCTGACCTACAGTATTATCCTTCATTCTGGCCCCAGTTTATCAGACCCACTCTCTTTTGGTTGTATTCTCTGAAGGAAGGATTCACGTGTGCTGTCCTCTTAGTCGATAGTCTTTATATATAATTGCTGTAGATTCTCAGAAGTCAGGGTGCAGCTTTTCTTTGAGCAGTTTCATGAGTGAATTCAGCAGCAAAGTGGCAAGAAATGGTTCTCCAGCCAAGAGAGGTCATGTTCATCCTCTTATTGTCCAGATTCTCTACTCACAGTGGTAGTCAGTGAGAGGTGCTGCTGGGCGTGGCACCCTGGGCACACAGCATTTTCATGTCAGGTCACAGTGTAGAAACCATCTTCTCGGGTGCCTGGGTGGCTCAGTCGGTTAAGCGTCTCTCTTTGTTCAGGTCAGGATCTCAGGGTCCTGGGATCGAGCCCCACATCAGGCTCTCTGCTCAGCGGAGAAGCCTGCTTCTCTCTCTCTCCCTCTGCTCCTCCCCCTGCTTGTGCTCTCTCTCTGTCTCTGTCAGATAAATAAAATCTTCAAAAAAGAAAAGAACAGTCTTCTCTCATTAAAAAAAATGAAAGAGCATTTTTCCACAGAGAAAAAGGGAAAAGACCCACGAATGTCATCTTTTATTTTTTGTTTTCAGTTGGCTGATATTGCAGTTTTTTTTTTTTTTTTTTTTTTAAAGATTTTATTTATTTTTTTGACAGAGAGAGACACAGCAAGAGAGGGAACACAAGCAGGGGGAATGGGAGAGAGAGAAGCGGGCTCCCTGCTGCGGGGCTTGATCCCAGGACCCCAGGATCATGACCTGAGCTGAAGGCAGACGCCTAACGACTGAGCCACCCAGGCGCCCCACAGTTTTTGTTCTTGACACGCGTGTGTGAACCACACTTCCAAGACACAAGTTGTTTTGGCTTTTCACTGTAATTACCTCTTGTTTCTCCATGGTTCTGATGATTGTTGTATGGGAAGCAGCCTTCTCCTGGGGCTTCCCATTTACACACTATAGGGCTATCTTTATACTTTAAAAAAAAAGAAGAAAAAAGACTGTCACTAACCTCATGGGGGATTTGCAGAAAACCATTTTAGGCCATTTAGCAAAAGGTAGATTCCTTATTATTTTCTTAAGCTCATTGTAATAAAATAAATTAATTCAGAAAAAAAAAAGTTTTCTAACCATGTGTGTTTTTCACCCATGTCAGTAGGACTTCTCTGGGGATTTGGGGCATTGTTTATTTTGTTTACTGTGTACTTTATTTAAAATAAACCTCAACATACAAAAATCAAGTCACTCAGTAATAAAGTGTAGAAGAGTATTCAGTATTTACATGTGTCTCTTGGCTTCTTCCTAGTTGGGTGTTAACACTTTATCAGATGAGAAAGCTAAGAAGAACTCCCAGAGTAACACATCAGAAATGGGCATCAGGCACAGGCAGTAGTGCAGAGGATTAAAGACTCTCCCACCCTTCCCATGACTTTAAGGTTCTGGAAATTAATCGCTAAAGATGGAGACTGCTGAGTGTCTAGTTCACAAAGATCTAGAATCTTGGGGAGTTAGGTAGAAAAGAGCAATTTTACGCTTTTGATAACCATAAATAATGAGAAATAAGATAGAGTAGTGGAATGACCCTAATCTCAGAAGAGGAACATCTATACTTTGTTATAGGTGCTAGTGGCTCGTGTGTGTGTGTGTGTAAAATGGTGGAAAGGAGAAGATAGCTGAGGAACTTTCTTGGGGACACCTAAGGCCAACAGCTCTGTACCCATTGTGCTTCTGGTGGGGATAAGCCTGCATTATTTCGTGTGTTACTGTAAATGTTTCCTAAGAACATGTGTTTGTATTTTCCCCAGGTTGGCTTATTTGGACGTCTTGGCACTTTTGCAGTAAGAGGGATGCCCATGGCAACTCGACTGTTGCTCTGTGAGCATGCAGAAAAGTTATCAGCCGCCATTGTTCTCAAGAACTACCACTCCAGGCTCTCGGACCTGCTGAACACAGCAATAATGATTGCTTTAAACAAGAGGGACTGTGAAATCCCATCCAACCTGACTCCAGCAGATGTCTTTTTTAGAGAAGTAAGAGGAGTTCTTTTGCCTTTAATGTGGCTTCGTAGAGCTATGCCATTTGCTGATCATGCCTCGAACAGGGAAAAGATTGAGCACAAAAAAAATCTCATTGAAATTTTAAATAGGACTCCATGTTTATTTAGCACATTCCCTGTAAGTTAGAGCTTGCAAAATTGACTAAGTCTTCTCTACTGTCTGCTGGATGTTTTCTTTTTGCCTCTCCGAATCCACTCTTGACGCTGCCCCCTCTAGAGGGCATCTCGTCAGTGGGTTCCTTTGCCCTCCTGTTGTCTTTGATAACGGTGACGCAGTATCAGGCCGGGAGTGGTTATCTGTTATTATTTGTTCTATCAGTTATTCCCCCAGCCTCGTTCCTTCCCTGCTTCCACTGCAGTTTACAGGGCCTTCTGTCAGAGACTGAGGCTTCTCGCTGGCTGCTCTCCATGTTTCCAGTACTGCTTCCGCCCAGTGCCCCGTCACGCCCGGCCTTCGTAGTGGCTCCCCTCTTGCTGGCCCTGGATGCTGCACCTTCCTCTGTAGATCCCCTGGCCCCTGCCAGCACCACCACAAACGGGCCCTTCACTAAACTCTGCTCACTACCTGCTAGGATCCTACTATCTACCTTGCTTTTAAAATCAGGTTTATTTTCCAAGGGAAAGAAAAACCTGCTGTAAACATCAGAGGAAGAAAAGATTAAGATGCTGGTCAGCTGGTGGCAGCTGACTATTGTGATAATAACATACAGCTCTTGTTCTTGTGCAACTTCTTACAACCTCATGCAGGGGCAGGGGAGACTTTACTCCCTCCCTATAATTGTTTTTTACATTTGGGGAACTTTTAACTCTCTTTGGTCAGTTTCATTTTTATTTCCTTCCTACCACAGTCTAGCTATAATCTAGCATCTAACAGGCTATGCCAAGAAGTCCTTTTTTCTTCTTAATACAGTTGACCCTTGAACAACATGCCAATACCCTTGCACAGTGGAAAATCTGTGTATAACTTCTGACTCTCCAAAAACTAACTACTGGGGCGCCTGGATGGCTCGGTTGTTAAGCGTCTGCCTTCGGCTTGGGTCATGATCCCAGGGTCCTGGGATCGAGCCCCGCATTGGGCTCCCCACTCTGCGGGAAGCCTGCTTCTCCCTCTCCTGCTCCCCCTGCTTGTGTTCCCTCTCTCACTCTCTCTGTCAAATAAATAAAATCTTTAAAAAAAAAAACTACTAGTAGCTTACTGTTGACCAGAAGCCTTACCAATAGTTAAATCAATACACATTTTGTATGTTATATACAGTATTACATACTGTATTCTTACAATAAAGTAAAGGAAATGTTAAAATTTACATAAGGGGCGCCTGGGTGGCTCAGTTGGTTAAGCGACTGCCTTCGGCTCAGGTCATGATCCTGGAGTCCTGGGATCGAGTCCCGCATCGGGCTCCCTGCTCGGCAGGGAGTCTGCTTCTCCCTCTGACCCTCCTCCCTCTCATGCTCTCTGTCTCTCATTCTCTCTGTCTCAAATAAATAAATAAAGTCTTTAAAAAAAATAATAAAATAAAAAAAAATAAAATTTACATAAGGAAGAGAAAATAAATTCACAGTACTGAATTCACAGTACCGTACTGTATCGAAAAAAATACGTGCATCAGTGGGCCCATGCAGTTTAAACCTGTGTTGTTTAAGGGCCAGCTATGTTTCATGTACTGTAACCTAAAAATAATTTAAGACCCTGAACTATGTTCAGGTTTTCTGTTGAATCCATAAATGTATTTAGTTCTAAGAATGCCTGTTCTTATATATTTGGGTTAGTTTTTTGTCTAAGGGTGTAAGGCAAAGCACTTTTTTGTTTTATTTTGTTGTTGTTTTTTAAATATAGGAAATATCCCCAAAATCTGAATGAAAGAAAGAAAAACAGTTTACCTCAAATTCCGTGATCTAACCAATCTGAAAGGAATCTGTGCAAAGCCCTCACTCCCCCACCTCCAGCCAAGCTTACAGACAAAACTCATAGGTGTCTGCACTTGGCCCTAACTCTTTGTTGTGTAAGAAGGGGAGGAGAGTGATGGTGTCAGAAATAGAAGTGGGCAAAGAAGGGCTAATAGAGGAGAAGGTCACCTACATATTGGATAAGAGTACTATTTGGGAGGGAGAGGTTATCTCATGCCAGAGCTTGTCCGAAGTAGTGAGGGCTATCCCTAAAACCCTGCAGGAGAACTGTCCAAGTTAACTGTTGGGAGTGTCAGGTGTTGGGGTCAGTCCAGGGAAAGGTGAAAAGGTCCTGGGATTCTGGGGAGATGGGAATAGTAGGGAATGCATCCTTAAGGTCTAAGACAGTGAAGTACATGGTGGAGGGTGGAATAGTGGGGAGAAGGGTGTATGGATTGGGGACGATGGGGTGGATAGGGAAGACTGCTTCATTGATAATTCTGAGATCCTGAGCAAGTCTGTAAGAACCGTCTGGCTTTTTGACTGGAAGGATTAGAGTACCGTAAGGAGAGTTAGTAGGTTTATTTGAGGAAAGGAATTTGGAAATGAGGGTTGTAAGCCTCTCAGGGCCTCAGGTTTGAGAGGCTATTGGGGTTTGAAGGGGAAAAGGTAGGATCCTTAAGGTGTATAGATTCCTTTCACAATCACACTGTTGTAACTTTTGTGTTCTTTTTTGGTCTTTGTTCATACATAATTTTACATGGCAAAGCAAATTTTTAAAAAAAGTTACTAACAAATTATTTGAAAGAATTGAGTAAGAGCCTGATTCCTTTTTCTGCATTTGGATCCAAGTGGAAAGCATACTAGTTAATTCAGTATACCTGCATTTTCCAGTTAACTGGAAAAAAAAAAAAAGGATCTGGAAATTATCAGTTGGATACATAATTCATGAGTAGTACCTTAGGAATATGATAGAACAAAACCAAAAATGTGATTGGTTCTTCAAAAGAACGCTCCATATGGAAAATGGTAATGTTTAAGACTATTTACATCACCATTTATCTTAATTCCTCATGACGTTTACTGGTCTTAAGTTTCCTTTGGGGTGTAGTTCTGAATCTTAGGGTTCCATAGAGTTAACTGCTTAAGGGATAGACTGTTGGGTCAGCATAAATAGTATTTGAAACCACTGAGTACGTAACTTTCTCGTGGTGAAGGTGTTTAGCAATTTATTTGACATTTTATTTGCTTTATATATATATATATTTTTTTTTTTTAAGATTTTATCTATATGTCAGAGAGAGAGATCACAAATAGGAGGAGCGGGAGAGGGAGAAGCAGGCTCCCTGCTGAGCAAGGAGCCCAATGCGGGACTTGATCCCAGGACCCTAGGATCATGACCTGAGCTGAAGGCAGATGCTTAACCTGAGCCACCCAGGCATCCCTGCTTTTATATTTCCTGCTTTTTTATGTCATACATGCTTTCTTACCATTTTCACATTAGCGATATTAAGAAATTCTTACATTTAATCTTGGAAATTAAATGAGCCAAAAGTCTCTTGCTGGGGCTATTAGGATGCCTTTGACTAACACCTGAAATAGAAAAGGAATAACAGGGTTTAAAAGATGATTTTGTTTGGGCCATATTTTGCATATGCATATGTCTTGTTCCTTCAACTAGCTTATAAGCATAAGGGCAGCAAACCTCATTTCTGTTATTTCTTTGCATGCCCAATTATATGCAAACTCTAAATGTATTAAGTAAATATCCACTTAATAAAGGGGGGAAAGTTTAACCATGGGCTGAAACTGGAAACAGGTGTTTCAGTGCTTAAAGAATATTTTTGCATCATTACCTTCATGTGTTAATAATGACAAAAAAATTAGAAAAGAACAGAAGTTATATACATTTGACTCTTGAACAATGCGGGGGGTTAAGGGTGCTGACCCCCCAAGCAGTCAGAGTGTTTTAAAAAATCATAAAGAAGAGAAAATAAATTTACTGTATCTATCAAAAAACATCCACGTGTAAGTGGATGCATGCGGTTCAAACCTTGTTGCTCAAGGATTCCTTGAACAATATTTTCTCTTTCTACTTCCTTTTAAATTTATTTTCACCATCAGCTGTTTTATTCTGGCTAATGAGCTGAGGGTATTCCTTGATGAGAAAAGCCCCTTGAGTAGATTCTGGGCAGTTGTAATTATTACCATCACCATAATTTTTGTTTTAAGTATTGCCTTCTCTGTACTTCCCCAGGTGTCCCAGGTAGACACCGTCTGTGAGTGCTTACTAGAGCATGAGGAGCAGGTCTTAAAGGATACATCATTGGAATCTGTTGAATGGGCTGAGGTGGTCATCAATGTGAACAGTATTCTCAAGGTACAAAATTACAGTGAAGATTTCAGCAAATCAAAGACCAGAGTGTGGATAGAAGAGAAAGTGGTTTCCATATTCCTATTCTGTATCGCCAGTAATTTATAAGTGTTTAGCACTTAATTCTAAAAATTTAGAAAAATGCCATTTTATTAATCAGCCAAACATTTTGAATGTTTGCCTTGTGCATATTAAGTGTCTATGATCCTGAGTTCTGTTTGGTAAAATAAACCTTTTATTTGGAGAAGGATATATATATATCATTACAAATGTATTAATGTTATACTAACTAAATAAATCACTCAAATGCTTACTGTTTATATTACTGATTAAAATGTTCCATTTAATCTTAGCTAATGGTCTTTATAGCAATGGTTTCCCTACTCTGGTTACTATAGTTTTCCAAAATTGAAATTAAATTTCAATGCAGAAAGAACCAAAAAGTAATTTTGCAGACCTGTGCCGAGTATTTTTTAGTATTAATAGACTTTGGTGTTTGAAATTACCTTTAAAAATACTGGGATTCATCGCTTTCTGCATATGCTGTCACATTGTTTTTCTAGGACATGCTACAAGCTGCTAGTCATTATCGACAAAATAGAAACTCCTTATATAGAAGAGAAGAACCACTAGAACAGGAACCTGAATATATTCCTTGGACAGGTGAGATTGCAAGCACTGAGCCCAAATATACTGATTTATTATTAGCAGTCATTCAAAATATATTCCTGATGACCGATTTTTGGAAGCTGTATTACTCCATTAGTGTAGATTTATAAGTGAAATGAAAAATAAGTGCTATCTCCAGAATGAGCAATTCTTGTGAAAATTGCTTTATTCCCTTGAATAATTTATAGATCTTTCTATAATGTATTCACTAGTACTTATTATGTGTCCACTAGATTTTATTTACTTATTTATTTTTTAAGTAATCGCTACCCCCAACGAGGGGCTTGAGCTTATGACCCCAGGATCAAGAGTCGCATGCTCTAGTGACTGAGGCAGCCAGGCGCTCCATGTCTTCTAGATTTTAGGGCATATAGTTATTCAAAGAAGCAGGTCCTGGCTCTGGAGGTGCTGACTATATTTAATGTTGATTTAATACAAAAAAGTAGGTGGAGCAGCATTAAAGGGATTTAGAAGGAAAAAGGATCATGTTTACCTGGCTTTGTTGAGGAAGTCTCCCATATAGAAGATGGGATTTGAGCAGGACAGAGAGGTATCAGCTGAAACCCTATTTGATTTATTTTTCCAGCAGCAGTGAGGTGATAGTATTTAGGCAGTTGGTCTTTTCCCTTAGCCAGTATAGAACCCTTACTTACCGTATTACTTTGTGTGATTTCACAGCAACAAGTGGTCCTTCAGGCATCCGAACAGTAATAGAACGCCAGCATGGAATTGTCCTGAAAGTGGTTTATCCTCAAGCAGACAGCAACCTCCGAAACATTCTGACAGAGCAGCTGGTAGCACTGATTGATTGCTTCCTGGATGGTTATGTTTCCCAGCTGAAGTCTCTGGACCGATCTGGTGATCAAGAAAGATATAACAGTCTGGAAATGGAATACCTACAGAAAAGATCAGATCTCTTATCTCCACTTCGTAAGTGCATGGTATTTAGCCAGGGCCATGGGTCTTTAAATTTGCAGAACGGATGAAGGAGTCAAATCATTAATGCAGCGTATTCAGTGTACTATCATTCATCCAACCATAACCAAGAACTTAAAGCATATATGTACAGCTTTCTGTGTTCATTTGTTCAACCTTGTTTTCAAAACTTCCCAGGTACAAGTACCATGCTGAAGAGGATTTGAAAAGGTAAATTAGCAACAGATGGAGACTGCCCTCCAAGAGCTTGTCATCTGAGACCTTTACACGAATAACTAGTCTGCCCAGTAGAGCATGATGAAGGCTGTTCAGCAAAGGACATGTTCTTTTCATAGTTAGGATGAGGAGGAGGGGTTGTACACATGGGAAGGGAATAGCTTCATAGGTAGGCAGGAACAAAAAGGATTAAATTTGCCTCTTTAATGAATTTATGTGGATTATGAAACTAAATGCCAGTAACTGGAAGGATTTCTATTCCATTATTTTTAGAGTATGGTATGAGTTAAAGGTAAAATTTCATGTAATATTTTTTATCACGTATTAAGTTTTCACTGACAGGATTTTTTTTTTCCATCTGTTCTCATTTTTACAGTCACACTAGGCCAGTACCCGTGGGCTGCTTCATTAGCAGAAAAGTACTGTGACTTTGATATCTTAGTACAGATGTGTGAGCAGACTGACAACCAGACCAGACTCCAGCGCTACATGACCCAATTTGCCGATCAGGTAGGTAATGAACGCTGGGGACGTAGGCAGTAGATCCTGTAGTAGGTTTTACCATTTTAAATCTTACTTGGGTTTTTAGGAAGATAATATACAATCTTTTTGCAGTTAACTTAGATACTAATTTGTGCATTGTTTCTTTGTAAATTGGCAGACATTTCCAAATATTATTGAAACATTCTTTGACCTTTGAAGAATGTGTTAAAACTTTAATTTCTATTCTGATATTTCCAGTTATAATTAAAAGTAAATAGACGAATATTGGGAGAGTTTTAAAACTTTGAAAAAAGATCTTGGGAGCACAGGATGCTGCAGCTTTTGGAGAGCTCAGCTTTCCTCGGTTGACATCATGCTTATTTTTTTTAAAAAGTTCTCATTATGACACTCTCTAGATGAATTATAGTTGCTTCTTAAAGCCACTTTATTCAGTCAGTTGATCTTCATGTAAAAACTGATTTTTTTCCTACTATAAAAGTGACATTGTATAAAATTCAGAAAACCTTTAAACCAGAAAATTTTAAAAGTCACTCACAATTTCACCACCCAGAGAGAACCCTTTTTATCATTTGGTTTATATTGTTCTAGTCTTTTCACTGTATAATATTACAAACATGTTTTGCCAGTTGCTTATTTCCCTTAATATATCACAAATATTTGTCCTTATCATTAAGTATTTCACAACAATGTTTTTGATGCTGTTATGGTATATTGTGAACTTGGTGTAACTTACCATATTTGACCAGGGCCTGATTGTTGGACACGGCTTATTTAGTATTTCACAATAGTGCTTAAGTAAATATTTTTGTGCCCATCATGATTTTTATCCTTTTTGTGGATTCTAGCCCTTTGTCAACATTTTCCATCCATTTTAGCATTCTTTTATTTTCTTTAATATGTTTAGTAATTATTTAAAAATCCTTCTGTGCTACCTCCAAAATCTGATCATTCTCCAGTCTGGTTCTGTTGTCTACTTACTAGTCATATTTTTCTGCTTTTTATGTCTTGTACTTTTTTGTTTTATTTTGGATATTGTATATAAAGGAACCTTAAAGGTGGAAATGAATGCTATTTTTCTCTGGGGAGGCAGATAGGGTGAGAGGCAGGTCACTTGATTCATCAAGAATAGAGGTGGGCCAAGGCTTGGTTGTGGCTTTTGTTATATTCATTTCATTTCTGGTTTCGAAGTCTTGTGGGATTGGTATGTTCGTTGAAGAATTCCTTCTTTAGTGGAAACATCTCTTACATACTGTGTGACTGTAGGACATTTTAGTCTTCCTTTCCACCCTAGGCTTCCATACTTAACCCCAGCATTCAGCAGACGTCTGATGGGAAAAACCAGCTAGGCATTGAGGGCCTCTCTAGATTCCTATTTATCATGCCAGTCTGCATGGCCTTCTGGCACAGAATTCAATCCTTGAGAATCTTTCGTTCTGCACTGTCACATAGAACTTTCTGTGACACTGGAGATCTTACTCATATATTCTATGATAGGACATAGGGCCATTGAGCACTTGAAATGTGACTGTGACTGAGGAACTGAATTTTAAAATTTTAACTAAGTTTAAACAGCTACATGTAGCTAATGGCTACCATACCACACCACGCACATCTAAAGTTTACATGATCTTGAGCAAGATCCCCTTTCTGAATCTGAATTCCTCATTTATTAAATGAGATGACTAAGTTTTTTTTAAGGCCCTACCATATAGAAAATAAGTATTTAAGGATTTCTGTTCTGCAATCTAAGACCTTTGAAAAAAATTAATATTTTATTATAAGAAATATACTTTTTAAAACTGTATTACTGAATATTACTGGATTCTTTGCCCTGTTATTTGTAGAATTTTTCAGACTTCCTCTTCCGTTGGTATCTGGAGAAAGGAAAGCGAGGCAAATTATTATCTCAGCCCATTTCTCAGCATGGAGAGTTGGCGAATTTTTTGCAGGCTCATGAACATCTCAGCTGGTTACATGAAATTAACAGCCAAGAATTAGAAAAGGTAAGAAGGATTGAGTTACATGGAGCAGATTTAGGCAATTTTTTACTTGATTAGTGTAGTTTAGTGATTAAAATACTATTTAGAGATTATTTTATTATTTATTTTTTTAAAGATTTTATGTATTTGACAGAGACAGCGAGAGAGGGAACACAAGCAGGGGGAGTGGGAGAGGGAGAAGCAGGCTTCCCGATGCAGGGCTCCATCCCAGGACCCCGGGATCATGACCTGAGCTGAAGGCAGACACTTAACAACTGAGCCACCCAGGTGCCCCTAGAGATTATTTTAAATATGTATCTCCTATTCTCTGACATAATTTAAATAAAGTGTTCTTTTTTATTTATGATGGCATTGCCATTACTTTTAATGTCTCAATAAAAAAAGTACCTTTTGTGATTTGACTACTATTACAGTAAAGCACAAAAATTTTATTAATGTGTAAATAACAGTCTGTGGCCTTTTTTTTATGAGTATTTTCTTAGAAATGTTCAAATTATGAGTAAAAACAGCACCCTAATTAGTTTTAAAGTTTGTCCTTGACAAGATGTTGAAGTGAATATATAATTGTTATAGAACAAATGTTTTATACATGTTTCTTTTCTCAGTAATTAGTGTGGCTGGTTAATATTTTATTGAGTAATTACTCTCGGTATATAGTACCAGTCAGGTTTAGGTTTGCTAGTATTGGATCTGATCTTTCATTGGTATCAGTAAGGGGGGGAAACAATTTTGGGTTGTACTTAATATTTCAACTTGAATTAATACTCAGGATCTTACCATTTTTCATATTTTGTTTATTGTAGGCTCATGCAACACTTCTGGGTTTGGCAAACGTGGAAACTCATTACTTTGCAAAGAAAAAAACCCTTCTTGGTTTGAGTAAATTGGCTGCATTGGCTTCAGACTTTTCAGAGAATATGCTGCAAGAAAAAATTGAAGGTAAAAGAAAGGATTTGAACATCAGTCATGCTATCAATGAACTCTGTGCATTCCTATTATCATTTAATAGGGTTCATTAGACATAGGACCTGTCTCTCCTTTAAGAGGAGTGATTTCAGTGTCGTTAGACCCTTACTCAAGTATGTTTTTTGGGATTCTGTTTTTTAGAGAAAACTTGTATGTTAAATAAGAATTCCTAAGAAGGATGTTATATGATTTGAAGAGTGCTCTGAGTACATCCGTAGTGATTCATATTCTAAGAACAAGAAGAACTGCAAAGAAATCTTGACCTTTACTCAGTGGGTTTTATTGTAGATAGTGGTAATTTTGAAGCTACTGGTTTCAGAATTCAAAACTTTTTGGTGTCATAATTGTATACAACTATTTTGTTATATTGTAGGTTGAGAAAATGATTGGCTATATTGTTATTTTTGAGAACCAAGGGGAAGGGAGATGAAATTTAGAAGGAAGATGAGGAAGAACCCTGTACTGCATTTGAATTGGAGATAATCAGATGGAATCATGATTGTTTAAAATTAAAGTATTTCTTGGCTCTGTTCACTGAAAAGGCCTAAAATCAGTGACACCCCAGTAGCATGAGTATACCTAGTCCTATACGTTGGCTTCTAACTACTATTTCTCAGTAAAAGGAATTGAGGATTATTGGAGAAATGATCTTGGGAAGTCTTGTTTAGCCAGAAAGCAGGGTTAATGTAGAAATGTCAACACAACAGCCTCCACTGGCCAAGTTTGGGGATAATTTGAACACCAAAAAGAATGATAGTAAAGCATTTTATTTCACCGTTTAAAAAACGTTTAAAAACAAAAAATCCATAAATCCACAGTGATACCCAAAAGGGGAGGGGTCAGTGAAATGCTTCTTTACAAAAAAAGAATACCAACTAATGTAGAATAGGACTTGGGAAGTCATCTTGCAACCATGGTGACTAATTAGTCATCAAAGGATGCTAAAACCATTGAGTTTAAGGGTTAGGGGAAGAAGATCGTGTCATGTTTTCAGAGTATTATTACACAGATCTAATAGATACCATCGTCAGCAGTGAGACAAACTCACATTACGTGCTTCCTGGAGTGATGTAATGTGGCAGTATAGAATACCACCTGTGTTACTTTCATGCTAGAAATGGTCAACCTGAATCTAACCACAAGGGAGTGATTAGATATATCCTGTTTGTGGGGCATTTTACAATATAATTGGCCCAGACTTCAAAATTCAGCAGCATGAAAGGCAAAAAAAAAGACAAGAGGCTGTTTTATTTTTTTTATTTTTTTAGAATTAGAAGTCCAATGCGCTATCCATTGTGCCACGGAGCCACCTTATTTTTTTTTATTTTTTTAAAGATTTTATTTATTTATTTGAGA